AAACTGATTTGTAAGTAGATGCAGGGTTTTATAGAAATATGAGCATATGTAAGTTGTACAAAATGGCGTAATGTTAGCATGTAAGTTACATGCGACAATTCATATACATACATATGTGTATTTACATATATCTCTCCTGCTGGTGTGGCAAAAATCCCCTTTATAATAGCTAGTCTAGGTAAATGAGCACCAATTCCGCGATAAATCATGTAATAATTTTATAGTTTTAATGACCTTGATGTACTAGAGTATGCCATGACTSATACTGGTAATTTTGTACAGGGAATTATTTGTGCCTCGGTTGGTCTCTTAGATAATACAAATTTTAAAGAGCAAAAAACATGTGTATATATTTGTAATATGATCAAWTTTGACCAAGACTGACAAAAATCTGGGCTGTAGGGCGGCTGCGGAAGCGTTGGGATGTAGCTGTGGTGAGGTAGCTGTTTACAAGAAAAAMGGTGTGAGCCGGGGCGTTGTCGTGGTGCAACTTCCAATCGGCCGATGTCTTGTCGAACTCGATTGACCCTTAATTTGAGCCTTTTAAGGACTTCTAAAACTTGGCGTAGACGGTTTGCTCAGGAGGAACAAATTCATGGTGAACAATGCTTTTGATGTCAAAAAAGCCATTGAGCATCGTTTTTACTTTGGATTTACGCAATCTTCCTTTTTCTTCATCAGCTTCCCTGCCCTCATGAGATGTGGTGCCACCGAAACACATCACTTGTGCCTGCCTGCTTGATTATATCAAACGCCTMTGTGGCAGTTTTACCGAGTTTCACACAGAATTTAATCGCGTACCTCTGCTCTAACGAACGCTGCTTTTTCGGTTTGCACCCCTCACAGAAACGCGTCGCGCGAAAATGTTTGTCCCGACGCTCCAGGKKCTCGGAGACAACTGATCTTATTTGCTTACTTGTTAGCTAGGAACGCCTTCTACCGCATCCAATCGGTATATACACTYTCCGAAGTACAGTCGCGGCGGAAGAAATTCAATCCTATTACTTTCCGCACTAACCCTGTATTTCGAAGCACCGCTTTCGTATTTTTAAACACCTCTCCTGCCTAATCGSCACGTGTCTCTTTTTGAGCGAAAGACAACCATGAGCAAATAGTTTTTACACTCAAGTGTCCATGCAATATTTTCTGGTCTCACTAATGCCTGTAGTTGTCTCTACCTTACGCTAAGTCACATAACGATCTGGCAAGATATGTAAGTTTGCTCACAGCATTAATAGTTACCGAAACAACAACTCATTTTGGACGACCTGCACAAACTCACTTTWGGAGTGGTCTGCGACCTCGATTGAATTCACCATACCATCGATAAAMWCTGGCCTTTGATGAAGCTTCGTTGCTAAAAATTGACATCGATGCATTGCTGATAAGTTAATCCACGCAAAAGGTTATAAAAAATAACCGCACGAAAAGGTTCGGAATTTAATTAAATTTTTTGCCAAGAAGAATATTTCAAGTTACTGTAAGCAACACAAAAAGCGCTCATAAAACAAAAAGTTTTGAATACGTATAACAACAAAAATGTCAAGCTTTACGACCAAGTTGTCAGTTGCCAGATTGCAGGTTTGCCAAATTACGAAATACGAATACCAACCTTCGTAACTCTTTGATAAACATAACCTATAAATAAGAGCGCAGCTCCCWCCTAAGATTTGTTTAATGCTACAATAATAAAGATTAGAAAGATTTAAATGSACATATCAGATCTTTATTTTTGCATACCACATACGTGCATATATTTGTTAATTGATAACAGCTTCAGAATGTGATAGAAAAGTTAAWAGACTTTAGTCACGTATACATCTCACCTACAAGTTACTAGATATCATTTAAATCTTTATGCTATATTCTTATGTGTMTCTTTATTTTTTATTCGTAGGTATGTGGCGTACTCATCATCGTCCTCGGCTCATTTATGGTGAGCAATCTTGGCGATATCTCGTCATTGGATGAGGCTATTAACGTTGATACACTGCCCATCCTAATAATTATACTGGGTTGTATAATATTTGTGATATCATTCGTTGGCTGCTGCGGAGCGATACGCGAGAATTCTTGTTTAATGACTACGGTAGGTTATAATATTATATGAACAAATAATCTTAGATAGCTTTATATATATTTATTACTTTTTTTTTTACTTTTGTACGGTTCGCCTTGATATCTATATATATAAAATATATAAAACTTATAACTTCTTTATTAAAAATTTTTAACCCTTTTCTCTCTCCCACAGTATGCCGTCTTCATGTTTATCGTGTTCGTTCTGCAAGTGGTTTTAGTAGTCTGGGTATTTATAAAACGTGACGAGTTCTTGAAAACCATGACAAATCTGGTTAGCACAGCATGGAATGAGAATGATTCAGCTAAAGGTTTCCCAATGGACGCGTTACAGCTTAGCGTAAGCATGCTATACTATACTATAACTCTAACCTTTGTACTAATAGAAGTTGCTAATATTTTAATTTGTCTCCTTAAAAATAGTTCAAGTGCTGCGGCAAAACCAATTATAACGATTATATAACTGCAGGCAAGGATGTGCCGGTTTCATGCTGTGGCTCTCTCGACGYTAAGGTGTGTACCGCAGATGTATACCAGACTAAGCCAGGCTGTACTGCTGAATTCGTTGGCTTCTGGGAGGCAAATACGAATATTATCCGTTTCGCGGGYATTGCAGTTGCGGCCRTTGAATTGGCGGTATTCACAATAGCCTGTTGTCTGGCGAGTAGCATGCGCAGGTCGCGAAGACCTTAAATGCTCCGAGTAGAATGTGTGTGTGTAGAGCATGTGGTTTTGTAAATAAAGTACAGAAATATACATATATTGAATTCATTTTATTTGAAGTACAAATAATAATTGTGAATCATGTACTATATGTATTAAGGAATGTAGAAGGCATTGTATAAGTTAAGTAAACTTAGTTAGGTCTTTTATAGTGTTAATCAATTATTAAAACTATTTAATATTTGTTGATTCATTTTATTTATTATGAATATATAAAATTTAAAAAAATTAAAGCTAGAATTGTGTTCTTCATCGCTTTTCTTATTGGAAACGAGACTAAATCGCCGAAAATGATGCAGGTTATGTCGACTTGAACCATGTGCTTCGGCTAAAAGATAATGAAATTGTGTGAGATGGTTGAGAGRCTCCCTTAGTTGAAAATTAGGTTCAATATTTGTATTTTCAGGCGCTTTATAAAAGCTGTCCGACTCTCATCTGCAAAACATTATTCAACGGACAGCCGTTTGGGCGCAGCTGTCATTAACAGACAAGTTTCATGACCTGCACTGGTCTGAATGACTTTCTGTCACCCAAATAATCAATGCCAAACACACACTACAACTTCTGAACAGTGTAAACGCTGTTCAACTCGTTCAACTTTATTACGAAAATCCATGTTCGGTAAAGAATGTATAATCGGCTTACTGGGCGTGCTATTTACAATACCATCACTCATCTTGAGACCCAGCATTCATTACTGGCTAATATTCGACCTGATAGAGCACATCCAGCAAGTGAAGTATATATAGCAGCCGGAGCTGAGAGTGTACATGAAGACCGTGGAAAGTCGATTCGGCGCCGTTTGCAGCAACTCGTACGGTCGTATGGAACGACTTTGACAYATTTTACGTCGAGTTCTTAAATTGAAAGCTTACGAAATACAGCTTGTGCACGAACCAAAGCCACTTGACCTTCCCAAGCGACATCGCATCTCTCCATGGTCCCTTGAAAAGTTCTCAGAAGATCCCACGTTTTCGAACCAAATTTTGTTCATCTATGGGGCCCATTTCTGGGTTAATGGGTATGTAAAACAAGCAAAATTGCCGGGACAAAAAGCAACCTGAAGAGATTGAAGAGCTGCCATTTAATTCATAAAAAACAACGTTTTGGTGTGGTTCATGGACCGATGGAATCATAGGTTCATATATCAAAAATGGCGATCGTTATTGCGCCMTTATTTCATGTCTAAAATTGAAGCCGTGATCTCGTCGTCATTTGGTTTCAACAAAACGGCGCCACTTCCAGCGCATCGCATCAATCAATGGATTTATTGAGAGTACACTTCGGTGAGCAGGTAATTTCACGTTTAGGGCCGGAGGTCAAACGAGTCATCCAAAATATTTGAAAAGGATAATATTAAAAAAATAAATGCCAAAGATTGTTCTTTCGACTGATAAAGAATTTCCCCTTAAATTTGAAGTTTCTGTGYTTTTMTTTAAGAAAGTAKGGAACATCGAAATGGATCATCCTTTATTAAACAATAAAATAAATAAAGGCCGATTATTTCACTACACGTAATATAAATTTGAAAGTTTCAGTTTTTGTTTTACATACGATAGAGAGATGGATATTTAGATAATTTCAATTAAATCGACTGACTTGCYATGATAATAATTTAAAATTTATTTGAGTAAAATTTATTAGAGAAATCATTTGAATATCGAAATATAAAAAAATTTTTTTTTTTTGGTTTTTTATCCAAAGCTGCACGCTGCTTTTGTTCATTTTTCGGTCTTAGTTATTGTGTACTTGYCAAGGAATTAAAGACTTAAATACATTTTTTCTCAGCCAACATGATCTTGCGTRTGCTGTGCTTAAGTATGAATTCTTCTAAGCTGTTCCGAACATTAACGTCAAGGGTGTCCCAATACTAATGCAAGATTTAAATTTGACGCAATTTCCAAATCTTTTCATATGTAGTTAACAAAGAGGGTATTCCAATTAGCGAAAAGCAAACTTATAAGTATGCAGTTCTCACAATCGATGTTGTACTGTGTGCCTCATTTATTATCGATGGGCTAAAATACTTTGAGCCCTGCATAATATTTGAATTGTRAATAAAATTTATACATACATATTTATACACATGTTTACATGGTTGCGTGGCACATTAGATACCCCTGTGTCATATTTATCTAGTCGATTAATGAATGGAAAATAATCAAAGATAAGTAAATAGTGATTTTTCGATATTTTATATATGTTTGGAGCCACAATAAAAAAATTATTATAATTAGTTTTGTTAAAAAGCAAATATTCGGCCTAGAGTTCAGTCATTCGAACGAAAGTTACGCGAACAAACGAAATTGGGTTTGAAAAGCAAAAGAATTAAATATTTCTTTAAACTGCGAGAAATTGTACAATAACAATTTATAATAATAATAAATTAATTAATAATTAATTACATATATTCAGATACGAAATTAAATAATCAGTTAAAAACAAAAAATTGTGAAAATGGGTTGGTGCGAATTTCTTGTAAAATGGTTGCTATATTTTTTTAACCTGCTCGCAGTGGTAAGCTCATTATATCCCTAGATATATGTGATGTGAAAATATTTGGAAATCCTTAAAAACCATCCTGCTAAAGTAATGCGCTTCAATTACACGAAGTGTGAAATAAAATATTTTGAAAACAAATAATAGTGTTGACAACTAAAGGGCTAGAATWTGAATTTACGGGCTGATTATTAGATTACTGTGCTTCGTGTTGATCGTTGGRGGGTTTTAATAAGGACTTTTCCTTGTTCTTACTTTTTTGTTTCTATTTTCAAAGAATGGTGCTAAACATGTTATTAAGAGGGTTAATGCCGTTTGAAAACTAAAAAAAAGTTCTTTCTGTGCTGATGACAGTTAAATTTTTGAAATTTCAAGTAAATCGTGTTTTGAGGATCAAAACATTTTGAGTTTATGCAGGGGAGCTTCAGCAGTTTTTTTCTCAGAACACTTAGGATCCACTGCTGTTAACAAATATCCATCGCTTAAGTTCTTTGTGAATTACTGAAATTGAGGCGATAGATGTGATATTAGAGCAATCAGTTCATTAGATCTTGGTCATAATTATAATCTGATTTACAATTAACATTTATTGAGGCTTAAGCACTTTTGATTCAGATTTATCAATACCGATTTAGATTCATRAATTTTTCATCTCAGTCCAAGGCCGTAACTGGTATATAACCCGGTTATTAAAGCAACAAGCMAGAAACACAATTTCTTGAAAGAAAATTAAGAGTCGCAATCTAAAATTTCGAAAAAAATCTACTATATAACTATATTTTTATTGAACTGAATTCATAATATGAATTGGTATAGTTAAGTGAATTCGAACCAATATCAGGCAGTTGGGAATGAATGACGCTTATGCTGTTAGTTTAGAGTGAACCTGCGTGAGCCAAAAGGCGCCAACGCTAATCAAGAGCCGTTAGAGCCGCTTGATGTTATTGGACGTCAAGTGAGATGTGGCGTGAGCGTGGAAAGTAATAGAATCAGTCGTATCTTCTGTCGCGACTGTGCTTCGGAGCAYGCGTGAGCCGACTAGATTCGGTGGAAGGCATTCCTAGGTAACGAACGAGCGGCTGGTCAGTTGTCGAAGGGCACCTGGAGAGTCAGGTCAAACATTTTCGCGCATTTCAGTGAGTGGTGCAATCCGAAAATACTGTGTGAAACTCGGTAAATCGTTTGATATGATCAAGCAGGCTTACCCTGATGTTGAGGATGAAGATAAAGAGGCAATTTTCCGAGTGGCTTACGCCGGCATGAAGAATGAGCAAATCCAAAGTGAAAACAATGCTCATCGTCCACTATGAATTTGTTCCTCCTGGACAAATCTTCAACGCCAAGTTTTACGTGGAAGTCCAAGTAGCATGCACCTCAGCTTTCACGACTATTCCGGAGAATGCCTTCTGTGACGAATTCAATGCTTGGAAATCGCGCTGGCAATGCTACATTGACGCAGAAGAAACCTATTTTGAATGTTTTAAGAATTGTAACGATTGGTTCTATAAATTTGTTTAAATCGACTCAGTTCTATTTCTTTCCGGACAAACCTTGTACTTCTAAAAATTACACAATAATAAAAGTGAAAAGTCATTTGTTTTAAACGGTTACCGTAGGTGTGATCTTTAAAAGCGTCAACATAGAGTCATCAGCATAGAGAATATTTTTTTTTACTTTACGCCTATGTCTTTTCTTATATAATACTTTGTGCACAACACATGTCTATCGAAAAAATTCCAATCAACTTTCGAGTTCACGCCTAAAAATTAAAAACACCTCAACCTCAGTCTACAAATTTTACTATACCTGGCCTTGCAAAATTTTGTACATATATATAGACATAGTCTATATTTGCTATATGTATGTATGTTTGTTTGTATATTAGCCAATTCTGTTTGTGTTAAAACAGACGCTTTCAGTTATCAGTTTTGTCCGGAGTTGCGATAACAATATGGATGACTGTAATTACTTTTGACACATCATTTACACTTTTCCTTATTGAAATCGATATTCGCCATAAATACCATATATATACTTATTCTTTGTATATCTATGTAGTATGTATGTGTTAGGTACGACTTCAGAACGKAGTGATTCATTCCGTTTTAAATACACTCATTACTTAAATGAACATCAATTTCCGATAATCAAGGAATTCACTTGAASTAACAGTTATAAGCATCTAAAATGCGGTTTTAGTGCTATAAATCTATTAATAATAGYAAAATATTACCGCTACGTGATAAATCACAAATTAAATCTAGGTTAGGTTAGGTTAAACTGGCTGACTGATTATTTGTTGTACCAGAAATGGAGTTCACATTAATTCGAGTTRAAGTATTCGTCATACAGGACGTCAATGCTTTTTGCGAACTTTGAGAGCGATTTAATATCTATTTTGATACTTCACCTAGTGCCTTGAACAGCGAACATGCTATATTTCTAAGACGAGTTCTGGGTAAGACCGGACAGTAGCTGAGGTGTTGTTTTAATGTCTCGCTCGTGTCTACTTCTCTGCACTTCCAGCATGTGTAATCGTTACTAATGCCCTTCCGACTCGCATGTAATGCCAGTAAGTTGTGAGACGAGACCGATAGTCGTACGTATGGCCGTATTCCTTCGGTACTTTTACACATGATCTTGGCGATCCTATATTTGCTTAAGCCATTTCATCCCATCCTGATCCGTCTGTCAGTCCTTTCGAAAATTGCATTGTATATTGTTTTTAGTGGCTTCTGTATTTCCGGTAGTGGTTCGACAGCTAGATGGATGGTACTTTTGGTGGTCTTACCAGCTATTTCCTGMGTATTTTCTACACGATACCCTCTGGTTCCTTAAGTCTGTTTTTTTCAGCTCTCCTCCTGTAGATGTTCAATATACTTTACCTTGATATCATAATTTAAGATTTTCCTTGTAATTTTAGGTAGGTAAGTAGGAGTACAGCCCTGTTGTATTTCGAGTTCAAGTAGTACTARCTTTGCCATTTTGGTACACTAATCGTAGACCTTTTTGTTATTGCTATTACGTTTCATCTTCTCTTTCAAACTATTTTGTGGTTTAGATAAAGCTACTAATGTCCGATATGCTTTTTGTAGTCATCCATTCAAGGTTTGGTGCTTGATGGATTCCAAGTGTTCGGTCGGTCGGATCTGGAATAGGGCTGGGCATTCACAGAGAAAGTGGAAAATTGTTTCCTTATTCCCTACTAGTTCGCAGCTTCGGCGAATGTTAATGTAGGCTATACCCATTTTAGTCAGTTAGGCCAGTGCCCTGTTATGGTAGCTGTTACTCTGTAGATACTTTCCTTAGACCTATTTAACAAGTCGTTAGTTTTTTTCTTATAAATTGTTGGCCATAATTTTTTAGTTATAATACATTTTATTATATTTTTACATCTGTTATTTGCTAAATTATTGAAATTATATATTGAGCACTCTCCTGATCGATCCGGGCTTGGAATCAACACTCGTTCGTATCGGATTCGTTTATGAAAGCTCCTGCCTTTGCCAACACGCCTCCTTTTTCGTTGCCGAAAATGTTCCTATGGCCGGAAACCCAGATCAAGTCTAGGTGGAGCAAGCCTTCTAGGCTTGTAATTTTTGTCCTTAGAGAAATCAAGTTATCTTTTTATTACTGTACTTACTACATTATCCTAGTACAGGTAGTAGTACAGATTTCGATTTCTAAAACATTAGAGACACCCTTATTTCCACTGTCAAATATTTATATCTAATTATTTTTGAAAATAATTTTCAGATAGTTGGCATCCTACTCATCATACTCGGCAGTCTTGTTCTCGATGGCATGGGTGATCTAAAATCGGACAGTAATGTCGATTATACCAATGTCGTACCCATTATTGTTATAGTACTGGGTGGTGCCATATTTATTGTGTCCTTCTTCGGCTGCTGCGGCGCACTCAGGGATATCAATTGGTGTATTCTATTAGTAAGTTTTAAAAAAATATGCTTACTCCGATAAAAAAAAAAACTTTTCTCTTGCCTTCCAACTTCCGCAGTACTCGCTTTTCATGTTCATACTGATGTGTCTGCAGATTGCACTTGTCGTTTGGTCTTTTGTGGAGAAGACAGATTTCCTCAACTCCATGAATAACATTGTTCATAATGCGTTTGAGAATAGAAATTACGATGCTGACAACCCTATGAATATACTACAGATTACAGTAAGTCGCAAATTGTTCGTGAAAAATGTATAACTCTTTTAATCATCTTTTTATGCTTTCTCCCTTTTATATATAGTTCAGCTGCTGTGGATACAATAACTACACCGATTATACCAGCACCGTGCCACCGTCCTGCTGTGGTTTTGTGCAAACGGATGCTCCGTGTCCAGCGGTCATTTATGATACTAAACCGGGTTGCCAATCGGTGTTTTATAACTTTTGGTACGATAATTTAGGTTATGTGCGAATTGGTGGCATTGTGGTGGTTGTTATAGAATTCTTGGCTTTAATATCTGGTTGTGGTCTGGCGGGATGCGTACGAAAGGCGGAACGAAGAAATATAGCTTAGAGAATTTGCTCTACATCAATAGTTAATTATTTATTTTAATTGTTTCGTTGTTTAAAAAATTAAGTTTGTTTTAAGTTAATAATATTTAACTTTTTTTTGGAAATAAAGTTTTATTTATAATACATTTAGTAATAGATTTATATAAATAATATAAAAAATGGGCTGAGATAGCCAAAAACGCAGGAAACATATTAAGAAGATCAATATGTTATCGATATGTCAATAGTCGGGCGGCAATTAAGAATGTCCTTATAAACARGGAGGCAGTAGATGTGATTTCTGCTGGTAAGCGGCACTATACTTTGTTTCAGGTCATCCTGAAGATGTTGAAAAAGTACTATTCGCCTACAACCAGAACAGCAAATATGGAGGTCACTAAAAACAGTGTACAATGATATTTCCGTCCAAGGCGGGATGGAAAGTCCTAAAGGCATACAAAATCGCCAAGATCATATGGAAAAGCCCCGAAGGAAAAAAACTTTTTATTCACACGGTCTCCAAAGAACTGACGGTTGCTGGTCTAATGAAAGGTCACAACTTACTTGTATCACATGCGAGTGGGATATCCATTAGTAATAACAATACGTGCATAGAAGTAGGTATGAGAGAGACGCTGGAAGACCTCCTATGCTTCTGTCAAGTATTATCTAAAACTTGGCTTTAATATTTAGAAGCTTCGTAGTTCAAGAAACTAGCGGACGTATCAAAATTAGATATCAATTCGCTTTCCTATATGACGAATCCCTTAGCTCAAATTAAACTGTACCTCCATATGACATTAATGAGTACCAGCTGGTCCATGTATGACGTGACAACCAGGCAGCGTAACCTAACCTAACCTATATAGTAATGAAATTCTGATTAAACCACAKAATATTGAGTCTATAACTATATATGCCAAGAGATGGCTAAGCTTGATCATTACTATATGGTTGCAAAATTCCGAATATTCGATGGAAAGCCACTGTCCTGATGCGTCTTTTTCAGTAAATGCCATTAATTTGAATCAATATTCGGCCATTTTCATCCAAATTCGGTACGTAATATTATACAGTGTAATCCAGGTAAAATTTTACACGAATAGTGACATTGAGGTTTGCGACATTGAATCACAATCATGTGAATACATCCGATTTGTAACAATAGCCGTCGCAGCAAGAATTATTGAAAGCGATCTCTTCACCATAACGATTGATTTCCCCCCCAGATATTAAGTTTAGGATCCAACTTTTCAGAGAAAAAGATAAAGTAATAAGTTACAAGRGGCTCCTTGGACTATATCGTCAGCTAAAATGCAAAATAACGTAACATCAAAAAATTCAAAATTGAAAAAATTTCACTACTTCAAATTACATACATAAATARTATTACATATGTTCAACATTTTCAGGTTCTGTGCGCAGATATTATAGCCCAGTTTTAACCAATATTAAATTTTTTTTTCACTCATGTTCCATTTTATTACGTGTTTCATCCATGCCACTGCAAATTTCCGAAAATGTTGTTACGTTATTTTGAATTTTAGGTGACGATATGTATGTATGTACATATGTATATTGCGAAAACGTGCTCGAGAAGCCCATGTGATTCGTGTAACCAAACCACTTAAGCTCAAAATTATCGGGTACTACAGAGCTTAAAACCCAATAAAAAGTAACGAATTTTCGAATATCATTGCGCATTTCATATTCAACTGTTTTTATCTCCCAAAAATATACTAAACATTTTTGTACAACAACCGTTCCACTGGAAGAAGCCTTAATGGACTTRTAGCGATAAGGCCTTGTGGCCTGGAAAAATTGTGCTCTATATAAAATATACTATTAGATAGCGAATGGCAGTAATACGGGTGAGGTCTGCTGGAAAACGTGCATTGCTATCGGGTGATTTTTTTGAGGTTAGGATTTTCATGCATTAGTATTTGACAGATCACGTGGGATATCAGACATGGTGTCAAAGAGAAAGATGCTCAGTATGCTTTGACATTTCATCATGAATAGACTTACTAACGAGCAACGCTTGCAAATCATTGAATTTTATTACCAAAATCAGTGTTCGGTTCGAAATGTGTTTTATCGACAAATTTTGTTCAGCGATGAGGCTCATTTCTGGTTGAATGGCTACGTAAATAAGCAAAATTGCCGCATTTGGGGTGAAGAGCAACCAGAAGCCGTTCAAGAACTGCCCATGCATCCCGAAAAATGCACTGTTTGGTGTGGTTTATACGCTGGTGGAATCATTGGACCGTATTTTTTCAAAGATGCCGTTGGACGCAACGTTACGGTGAATGGCGATCGCTATCGTTCGATGCTAACAAACTTTTTGTTGCCAAAAATGGAAGAACTGAACTTGGTTGACATGTGGTTTCAACAAGATGGCGCTACATGCCACACAGCTCGCGATTCTATGGCCATTTTGAGGGAAAACTTCGGAGAACAATTCATCTCAAGAAATGGACCCGTAAGTTGGCCACCAAGATCATGCGATTTAACGCCTTTAGACTATTTTTTGTGGGGCTACGTCAAGTCTAAAGTCTACAGAAATAAGCCAGCAACTATTCCAGCTTTGGAAGACAACATTTCCGAAGAAATTCGGGCTATTCCGGCCGAAATGCTCGAAAAAGTTGCCCAAAATTGGACTTTCCGAATGGACCACCTAAGACGCAGCCGCGGTCAACATTTAAATGAAATTATCTTCAAAAAGTAAATGTCATGAACCAATCTAACGTTTCAAATAAAGAACCGATGAGATTTTGCAAATTTTATGCGTTTTTTTTTTTTAAAAAGTTATCAAGCTCTTAAAAAATCACCCGATATAACGCATTACTGCTCAAAACAAATAAAGAAGATAAAGAGAAGGGAAGAAAAAAAAAAACTTAATTACACGAAAATATGGATTGCGGTGGTGTTTTAGTGAAATATATACTTTTCTTATTCAACATACTATTCGTAGTAAGTACAGACAACCTCAAAATGAGTAATATAAATAAGTGAAATTTGAACGGAATTTCTGCAGTTAATTTTGGACGGAATTTTAATTGTAAAATGCAAAGTTGTGAGAATTGATATCACAAGGTACTGATAATAGAATTTTTTTTTGCATCAGACGAGCACTTAACMAAGTTTTAGATAGCTAGACAACGGGTTAGTCATAGAAATTTAATTTGAAGTTCTCAAATATTGAGTCACGGTGCGCGAACACAGCTTGCAAATTAGTTGTAGCCCATTTTGTAAGTAAATTTATTTTTTGTATTAGGTGATTACATGAAAACGATAATAGGAAGAAAATAATTAATATTTAAGTTCCACACTTAAGTACAAGCTTTCAAACATGTGTCTTTGGCAAACAATATCACAAAGCAGAAGCCTTTTATCTACATGAAATAAAGCTCTATCTTATCACAAATGCCGACAAATTCACACAAAAATTAATTGAAACTATTTTTTTTCGGAGTTGAGGCATTTTGGATTTTTTTTTTTTTAGTTTTGTTTACACAAGTATAAAAGGAAAAAACGTTATGATATAAAAATTAGCTACCCATGTCAGAAGTATAAGTGAGTGCGAGGGTGTGTGGATGTGATGTCTTAAGTATATAAAGTAAATACGTTTACTTATTACTTGTTGTTGTTGTTATAAATATATAGAAGCGACAAATAAACACTTTTGCAGTGCTTCGTGAGAGCGTAATCAATAAACTCATAACAGAAGTTAAAAACCATCCTGTATTGCTGCAATTTTTCTTCTACTTTTAGCAAGTTTTAGATTTTGGAGGGGGGAAATCTCCGCAACCCCCACGTGGATCCGGCCCTGTTCACAAGAAACGCGTTTTTTCTGACTTGAAAGTGGACATAACTCCTTAAGTGTCGTCCAAATCGATTTTCACTCAAACTAAATTGAAATCTTTTACTCAATTCACATTCACAAAAATAATATTATTTTTTTATTTATAATAATTCATTACATACACCTCTACAGGTATGCGGTATATTGCTAATTGTCTTCGGCTCCATATTAGTGTCACACATACAGCAAGTGGGTAGCTTTGCGCAAACGTTTGAAGCTAACAGCGTTCCCATAGTAATTCTTATACTGGGATGTGTGATATTCATAATTTCGTTTTTAGGTTGCTGTGGCGCAATACGCGAGGACACATGTTGCACAATGACGGTAGGTCACATATGTAGCAATTATGCGCATATGTACATATAATGTATATATGTATATATATGTACATATAAATATATTAATTTAAATTAATATTATAACTTACACAAATTCGCACATCTTCATCTTGTAGTACTCCGTCATTATGCTCGTCCTCTTGCTGGTTCAGATTGCTCTGGTAATACTTGTTTGGACACAACGTGCCAAGTTCCTCAATTATGTAGATCAAATTGTGGAAACAATTTGGAAGCAGCACAAAACGGATCAAAAAGTAATGGACGCTTTACAATTGACGGTAAGTTTCTCACTAAACGATTTGTGCTTAACCATAACTACATTAGAAATGTATATTAATAATATTTCTTCCCTTAGTTTAATTGTTGTGGCGTAGATGGTGCAACTGATTACACCTTAAATCTGGAGTCAATCCCAAATTCCTGTTGTGGCACAAACGCCGTATCTTGTAGTGTGTTAGATGCTATAAAGAAAAATGGTTGCCAAGAAGCTTTCCATTCATTTTGGGATAAAAGCATAAATATTGTACGATATGCTGGCCTCGGCGTAGCAGCAATTGAAGTGAGTTGTTTAAAGACACTTTGCACTATTAAATTATCTACTCCACTTAAACCGTCATTTTACATTATGCATTTTCAGTTAGTGGCATTTATTTTCGCCTGCTGTTTAGCGAATCAAGTGCGCAACAACATAAGGAGAGCAAACTACTGATTTCAAAATGGAGTTCATGTGAAGCCTTTGCTTTCCGACGATTATAGTTTGCTTCTCACCACTAATAGTAGCAAATATTTTACATATGTATAAGAAATATCTATTTAACTTTTATAAAAAGTTTACGAAATCGATTTATGCTATAAAATTCTCCCTCGATGATTTGAATTCAAAACGATTAAATAAAACTTAACAAATGCGTGAGGAAGCGGAAAGTAGATCCGAAACAAAACTCTTTGAGTATGTATGATAATTTGTTTAGATTCCACAAAAGACAATTTTAGGGCAGCACTGTAAAAATAAAACAGTTCTGCTGTAAAGTTGTTGCCAGTTGTAATATAAATATGATAGCTTGAACCTGTTCATACACAGAAATTTATTTGCTAATAATCAGCAACTTATATTTTTCGGTTTCCTATTTCAATTCTCAATTCGGCAGTAAGAAACTTACTGATATTTTTATAGTAAAATTCGGTAGAGCTTTCTGGTAAATAATGTAAATAATATGTGATGTAGGCGATAGTTAATGTAAGATAATTATTAGAGAATATGTAAATATTTGTTTGAAAATATTACTACGGGGATGATATGTTTACTTGGTCTCCATAGATAGACACTTATGTATATATCATTCAATCTATTAAAATTATTTGATCATATTCTATTACAATTTTAATAATGAGTTAATTGAATCACTCTTTGCTTAAAGTGAGTGAGAATAATATTTCTTTAAAAAATAGAAGTAAGTATATAATGTAGTTTAAATTTGTATGCAAATTATTTAATAAATATTATATTCTTTGAGAACTGGAGCAAAAGTGTTAGTGGTAGTTAGGAAAGAGTAGGCAAGCCTAGATTTACCAGTACTTACCATCACGCGCACAATGTGTAACTTGGCACTACTCGTATTTTTCGWGTTTTTGCCTACATAATAGCAGAGACATGTTTTTGGTTGGCAGCACATTGCCATTCAAATTTTGAAAGCAGATCTCATCAGTCTATTTTATTGTTGGTTCGTGCGRTATATCGTGTGCAGCTGTTTAAATATTTTATCAAATTGAATCGAAAAGGCAACAATCGTTGTGATAAAAGGTATAATTAGTGATTAAATTTATATTTCAATAATTAAATGTAAATAATGCATATTTGAAATATTATGTATATATACTGTTCAAGTGTGTAGTGGCTGTAACATTTCTTAATGTCGTGAATAAAGTTAGAAGTGGTGGGAGAAAATACTGTTCAGGATGCTGGGATCTCCCACCCAATCGTATTGTGGRACTGCGACGCAATTGAAACAACGTGCGTAAAAATATAAAAACTAAATGTATTTTGAATAATGCTATATTTTAATTATTGGGACATAATTTATTAAGAAAAATGTGTCCCCTTACTAAATTCAAAGACAGTGGTTATTTATATTAACTCAAAAAATAAATACAAAGATAGCATACGAGGGGAATGCTAGATATGCAAAATCACGTAGGTACTCTGYAAATGAGACAAAGGACTAAGGCAAAACAAAGGAAAGTGCATACATGCGCCTTTATTAACAAACAAGTGTCAATGAACGCTTGAGAAGATTTGGAGCATCTCTGTATAGTAAAATGATGTAAGTGAGTCAGCACAAGGCCACAATAATTGAAGAGGAGAAAAGTATAAAAAGCGGTGCTAAATGACATGTACTTATATATGTGTACATATGTATGCAAGTAAAAACTCGGTGGTGGCAAAAGACCTTTAGCTCAAATTGTGAATATTAAGTGATTACCAGTGGCCCGTAATTACTTGAAGGTTGCCAATATATTTAATAATGTTAATGACACGATAAACAAATATGCAATTATGTAAATATTGAAAAATCTCCCAAAGGAGACCCAACTTATGAAATCTGCAAAGCTGTTAAGTATATATCACTTTGCAAAGGAAAACTACATATGTATGTGCTTATACATACCTACAAATTAGTATATTTAAATTGTGCGGTAGCAAGTTATACCGGTTTTGCGAAAATGAATAAAGCGTGAAGTTATAATATACCTACATATGTATACATGTACAAACATACGGAATGTTTCGCAACATACATCTGTAATATTATAACATATACACGTATATAATAATTTATGTGGTTGTGATGTAACTTAATCTGCATCGCTATGTACTTATAAATATTTTCAAATAATGATCAGCAGTAATCTGCTCTGTATTTAATTATATAGTCCGATGAATCATCGGTAAAAGGAGCATAACAATCCATTGCAAGTTATGTGTGTATTTCTTTTTAGTTATAACTGTAGATAAAAAAGGTTTAAAATAACTCTTATTTTGTTAGGTAGGTATCTGAGTCAGTAAACAACAGCCAAGACTGATATTTCTATATACGTATATATCAACCGGTAGCAGCGAAATTACGTACAACTGASCTATGTTTTGTGTTTATCTATTATATAAAATCTCCACTTGAGAAAGCTTAAAATATTATAAATATTAATTTATTAGCTCATGCTGTGATATTTCATATTAATCCAATTGTATTGAAGCTCTACCAAATTATTATTAAGCACTTCCTATATATTCTTATTTTTTATAAGGATCAGCAGAAGTGACTTCAAACAATTGTTAATACTTGAAATCTTATTAGTGATTATGTGTTCTAAAACTTAATAAACTATTAATGTTCTCTGTTTCAGATTGAATTTTATACGTTTCGACGAAAGATATAGCGATAAAGTTACCACAATGGATTGTGGCACATCAACGGCTAAATATGTGCTGTTTGCATTCAACACTGTTGTTGTGGTAAGTACCTGTGTAAATATGTATTATACATTTATTTATAGTAACGAAGCAGAATGAATAGAATTGATCCATACATTTTTAACAATAAAACATAAAATTCAGCCCAGTTGTTTGTGCTAACGTTTCAAAAAGAAATTCGTCAAGTCTACCAAAATACATACGATTTTTCGGTAATACCCGAATATATTTCTACTACGATAACATCATCAGCAGCTGGGAGCCAGATATTGAATAGACCTAGTAGATAAACACTCATTACATACTTTTATGTACATAATCTTGTAGAAAACTGGGTAGAAGTGCGTGCGTAAAATATAAAATTGTGTGCAGATAATGAGAATCTCTGGTGGAGCCAGTTTTTCTTAATAAGTAAATTAAACATACTTACATATGTATATTAAATGAAATAGACGTTACAAACTTTCTACGAAGAATTTTTTCTGTGGTCTTGATGCACTTTATACTGTTAAAAAAAAAAACTGCACTTTGCGACTTTTCATTATTAACACATATTTTTCTTATGAAAATACAAATAAGTTCAAATCGGAATGAGTGCTTTTCAATTTAAATTTTATTAGCGCGTTAAGKGAAATATTTGTCAACAAATGCATTCCGATAAGTAAGAAAGTGATTCATTTGCACTGCTAATTCGCTAAAAATACATATGTACATATGTATGTATATACATTGCGTACAACACTAAAAAATTCGTAAAGCTGACTTCATATGCAGATTGCTCCGAAAATGTGATATGCGATTTGTTGGCCTGTAATTAGAAACGAATTTGTTTTGCAAGTTTTTAACGCTTTTTGTTTCTAATAATTTCTGTTGGGAAATGCAACTCATGCTACATCGTAAGATTAATATTACGGACTTGCGAAGAATCTATATCTGATCGTTCAGTTTTTACGGCAGCTAAATGCCATAGTGGTCCGATATCGGTTGTTCCAACAAGTGAGCAGTTCTTTGGAGAGAATGGAGTGAAAGAGAACATAAGCAAGTTTTCATATCTATATCTCTAAAAATGAGGGGTTAGTTCGCGTAGATAGACAGACAAACAGATAAACTTGGCAAAATTAATATAACCTGTACTGGATATACATAATTATAAATAACAAACGTAAAATATTTTTTCTAAATATAACAAAGTAAGTAAAATGAAAAAMCCAAATTAAAAATTGCTAGTTCAACACTTTTTTTTTAAGAAAAGTGGAATGAGATAATTGAAAATTAAAATTACCATTAAGCATTGTGGGAACTAAAAAAGCCAAAAAGTACAAAACAAATATATTATTGCAAAAAAATAAAAAAAGAAGCGGCAAAAGAAAAAGAAATGTAGAAGGCAAAAGCAGAACCACCGAATTTACTTACTACTGTGGGCAAAAAATAATAAGACTTTTTAATTATTTGTAAAAACGTGGGCACAAGTGTATTGTATGGGGAATTACTTTAGGGGAAACGTCATAGATTTTAAAAAATTAATAAAGAGTTTCAAAATTATGAACAGAGTCTTACTATTTTTTGCTCATGGTAGTAATTAGTCTGATTAAACGCCTTTTGCCATTTGCCGAATTGATATTTTCGCATGTTGATTGTTTGTGTGTGCGTAGACTGAATTGCAAACCTTGCGAACATTATATAAATCTGAAAATCTTGTTTACTTGAAACGATTCAATTACGCGCGTAATAAATGAAGGAAGTACATATATACAAATACACATGAATATATCCATWCATACATACACATATTATTGAGGATCTTATATCGCCTTATACACGTACTGCTAATAATAAAAAGCATAGAATAAATAAAAGCTTATRTAGAACGCTTCGTGGGCAGTACTAAAGTTACTGCAATGCATTCAAAAATAAAAAATCTACGTTATATATTATATTTTTACATCTGTATTTARTAATAATTGCATGTGAATGTCACGAATATGAGCGCACAAGCAATTTGTGTGTGCTATACATACATATGTATGTATCCATGTACATATATAGACTTATGACGCACTTAAAGCGAACAATACAATCCATTTAACAATTATTCTCCTACTTCCATCTTCCATTTCATACCCATGTTTACCATATATTTCCGAATATGCGCTCGTTTCGAAGTGTTCGGAGAAAAGCTAAAATTGTCAGATTGGCTAATCCACATGATTATGGATGTACCATATTGTACAGGGCGCTTAGCTTGTAGGGGAAATCAAGTTAGAATGCGGCAGTGTAGTTGCGCGAT